ATATATATATATATATATATATATATATATAATGAGCAACGAGGTCGGTTACACTTTCCTGATGCTCCAGACCTGATAACTTGTCGAAGAAGACTCCATTAATGCGCGAGAAATAAAGAGAGGATTAACTGTGAGTTATCATTCGCGAGGAGAGTATTTCAAATCAGGCCTAGTAGTAAAGGATGCACGAAAATCAGAAATGTTTAGATCAAGTGCCTGATTTAACCACAGAGTTACTGTGCAAAACGATATATGAGAACCGGTGCTTATTTGCATGCAATGGATTTATAAGTTCGGGAAGTCCACCTGTAAATTTTCCAGAGCATTTGAAATTTTGATGGGTTCAGCTTGAAATCGGAGGAAGTTCCATAGAAAGTGTCGGTTCTGTAATGCAAATACGAAATCTGTACTGCGCACTCAGTCAACGAAGGCGCCTACTCTGTCTGCTTTCTGCGAAACTGCAGGAAAAACGGCTACTGAATTATCTACAGTAAGGTTGGCTTCTTTACTGTGCTGTGGCCACAAGGGCAGTTTAACATCGTCTTTGACGCGCTGCAAGCATTTGTGTCATGGCCATTCTGATAAAAAGGATTTGATATGTGGATAGGACTCCCATGTGACCAGTATTTGCTTTCTTATATCATCAAACTCATACAATGGCGAAGACGCTCTTTTACAGGGAACGAGTTCACTATAATAAAGTCCATCATTGGAAGGCATATATTCTAGTTAATGTATTGATGCTAAAACATAGCTTTAACACTAATACATAATTTCATTTCGTTCCTTTTCCTGCGATCAGAGTGAAAAACATGTCTTTTATTAGGAATGTCAATAGCCAACTAAAGAAATTTTCCAAAAATAAGGGTTTTCAGGAAGCCAATTAAAATAAACAACAATAAAGTGCTTTCAAAATTTTTATTAAACAGTAACGTCAACGGTAACTTAACCGCAGAATATACGAAGGCGCAGACATTTGCGCCTGCACGCCAGTCGCAAAGGAAACGTCAAATATTGCCTGAAGAACATTTCAGCCAAGCAAACGAAGCATACAAAAGCATACAAAATGATGCCAAGCATTTTAATTTAAAAGTCAAATTGGCGAACACGTGTTTTCAGTAACTCTTCATCAGGCCAAAACGGTTACAATGAAGTTTAAGTTATGCGAATTACATGACTTATAAATGATTCGGGGACAATTAGCATCGATCGTTCCCACGCCACTCGCATGACGAGGCGTGCTATGGCGTGGTCGGCGTGTCGTGGTCATTTGGTTCAGGGGGCGAGGAAGAGGGGGGGCATACGCTGTGAGTACGTCGGGTACCTTGTGCACACACCCTGGCAGCAGGAGGTTGGGGCGACGTTGGGGTCGGCGTCGGCCACGGAAGACAGAGCGTCTGTGTCAGAGTCTTCTGACAGCATAGCACTGGATTGGCTAGCCGCAGATAATGGCTCCCAGTTAAACAAACGGACAGACTGAGGAAAATTAAGAGTATTTTGACGTTGATTTAGTATTTCTCCCTGGTGTGGAAGAAAAAAGTTGCATTTTATCTTGAGAATATCATTCTAAAATTTTCTGCAAAATATTCTCCATTCACACGGCCGGAATACAAGTAAGGAGGTGATGTGAGAGTTAGTGGGCTTGAATAAAAACTATGCAATTATTATTGGAACAGCTCAAGTCTCGATTTCTATCTTTCAGTCGCCTTGCACGTTATCTGCCGCGGCAGAATTCGTATTACTGAGCGTATTACTGATATATACCCTAAGATATGCCGGAAGCCACGGCGCACGGGGATGGACAACATCACCTGGAATTTGTTCAGTAAATTGCCTAACCGTTGTGAGATGTTGTTATATTAAGATAAGAGCTAAAAAGACACAATAAACACTGCCATCGAAAGAGCGTATTAGAAAGACGCGTTTTAAAGTAGGTATATGTTTTCTTTAGGCGGAGTTGGATGACAAGAGGAGAAAACTTATGAATTAGAAGAGAAATGCAGGCATCTGTAAAGCTCCGGATTAGGGGTTGGGGTGAACAACGGATTTGGTGAACAAGTTAACAAATCTTTAGTAAAGGTATTCGGTTTGAAGGGCGAATAAAGAATTGAGGGCAAAGAAACATCACGGTATCGGATTATAATGCTTCATTGGGAAGAATGTTAAAGAACTCAGGAATGGGAGAGGTCGCAATCAAAGCACACTAAGATGATTTCTGATTATTAAGTAGGAAACCGTTTTCCTGGAATCATACATGGGCATGATCCAAGTTATCCTTTAGGACCTGGAGATGGGTCTGATTTGTAGTAGGGTAGTGAACAACCTCATCATTGGCATACGTAACATAGGCAGTGGGGTCCTCAGCGTGAAGTGAAAAGAGGTGAGAGATTAAGATTGGACATTGGAGGACTCCAAAGTTATAAGAAAGAACAGTCGATTTACGCTTGCCAGACTAGACAAATTGGCAAACTAATCTCTATGCCATGAAACACTCCTGCCAGGAGAGTCGCATTTAGATATTTTGCTGAGGAGAAGATGGCACGGGGCTTTGTTGAAAGCAGAGAAGAAGTCGAGAAATGAACATACAAACGTAGGGCAATATGTGTCAACATGCTTTGAGCAAAATGAATTACAAGGGTAGCATCACCCAAGGTAGTATGCCTGAAGTTACGTTGAAATTGTAAAAGGTCCAAGAAATTGGAGGAGGATGACATGATTACATCTAAAGCAACTTGTCTGTCAGGTATGGAGGAGAATTCCGTTATAACGAAATGATTGAGGATTTAAATGGGCAGATATCTTGGCAACGGGAATGATCCCTGCATCTTTGACTCTATAGAGGGCATTTTGACAACGTGTGTCAAAACAAGTTCTATCTGAGAATAACAGGGCTGAAAGGAAAGTGGTGAGACACTATCCGGCCTGGCAGCTGCTGATCCACGGATATCTTGAGCATGTTTCCCCACCGTATCCACAAACACAGGGCAGAAGACACAACAACAGCCAAAGGTTCTTTGCGAGACGATTGGAGTCAGTAAAATTAAAGATTAAAACCTTCTCATTCAGAGTTTACTTTGGCGTCAAAATGTGACATTATGTCTCGCTGACCAACGAAACGCTTATGATTTCTCTACACGTCAGCAAAGAAACGTGGAAAAGAAGAGATAGCACACTAAGTAGGAAAAGGAAGGGAAAATTCGATAAAAGTAACAAGGCTTTGACAGAGCAGTGTGTTCACTCTGTATTCTTCGTAAATCAAACATAGATCGCTTTTCATGTTGCCCTGTTTAAGTTCCGAAGAAAGTAATGCGCGAACTTGCAAAAAATTTTCCGGAACAGACTTCAGGCGCAGTTTAAAATTTGATATGAATATTTGACAAAGCGTGTCTGGGCTTTTAGCTAATACCAGTGTTGTTAGTACGGTAAATTATTACACAATCCTATGTTTTTTGGTCAATTTGTCGGTCTCCTAGTATATTTTCTGCAGACATACAGGCATACGTTAAACAAAATCAACTCCGCAAAAGCTGGCCAGAAATACTTTCCCCGATTTATGTCTAGGCTTCCAACGAATGCATTTGTTATGATGTTTCATGAAAAGATAACGACCAGCCTGGTGAAAAAGACGTTTGGAGAAAGAGAGCAAACTTGTGTTTTAAATGCGTCCACACCATAACTAAAAGGTTGATTGTAGTTTAAATCAATTTTTTACCCACACACATGAACATCTGAAGTAGTTTTTTCTCGTACCTGCGATCGAAGGTTCAGGCTAAACTTCAAAAGATTGTTCAAAAATGTAGTTATGCCTATGAAGGTATGAAATAACTGACGGAAAAACTGAGGTATGTAAAAGATATACCTCAAAATTTGTTGCTTTGGTCATGTCTTGATAACTCTTGTTTTCTCTTCCAAATTAAAATAACATTTTGCCCATAAAAGTGAAAGGCAAGTTCTAAATACTTGAATGCTA